ACCCGCCCGCGGGCCACTCACTGTGGAACCGCCCTGTGTAAATCTGCCCGGTCCTTGGAGATGAAACGGCCTCCGTGGGTCTTTCTTTCGACTGTACGGAACTTTCGTGCTCCCCAGCCGCGCAGAGTAACCCTAAATTGTGACTTGAACGCGAGGACATTTAAGTCCTTGGGGGCTTTGCGTCCCCAAAGGCGAAGGAGTGGATGCAAGCTGTACACATCAAAGACTAAAGATGGAAACAGACCAAAGCATCCCACTGAATTCGCATCATGATGGAGAGGTCGGAGCTGTTGGTGTCAGACGTTTCTAGATAGGATCTCAACTCCCCTGCTTGGTGACGGGGGCCTGAGGCTAGCACTGGACCGCTAAGCCTCAGTTTGCTTATTTCCAAAATGCAGACAAGCTGGCAGTGTTAGCGTGAGAGTCTTTATGTAGGTCTAACACATAATGAGCACTCAATAAATTTAAGTTTCTAAGGAAGAACAAGCTGAATTATATATTCATCCTAATGCCAGTTCATATATTTACCCAATGGTGCAATCAGATCCTAAAAAACAAAATTCGCAGTTTCTAGGGAAGTCATTTAGCCCAGCGGTCTCCGACCTTTTTGGCACCAGAGACCAGTGCTCCTGTGAGAATCTGATGCCTGATGATCTGAAGTGAAGCTGAGGTGGTGACGCTAGCACTGGGAAGCAGCTGCAAATACAGATGAAGCTTCACCTGCTGGCACCGCTGCTCACCTCTTGTGCCGCCAAGTTCCTAACAGGCCATGGTCCTGTTAGGAACCATGTACTGGTCTGTGACTCCGGAGGTTGGGGACTCCTGATTTAGCCCAAACTGGAGAGAGTTTGACATGGGATTTAGAGCAGAGCTTGACTCAAAGTTGGTACTCAATAAATTATGATCCTTAAAATTCCAGCTTGTCAAAAATTCAGTCCAAGGATGGCAAATGGTGCCAACTCCGATTGACAGTAGCTGGCCATATTGCAAAGAATTGTGAAGATACACTGAAATTCGCAGGAATTAGTGCCAAGGGCAACTGGCAATGTCTGTGTGAATGCAGGGTTTGGCAGAACGTCCCATCTCTGTCTAGTCTAATCTCATTTTTACAAATACAAAACTAAGCTAGGGTGACCAATTGTCCTGGTTTTCCTCAGGCTGTCTTGTTTTAGCAATGAAACTCCCATGTCCCAGGAAACCACTCAGTCCCTGGCAAAATGGGATGGTTGGTGATCCTAACTGAGGTCTAGAGAGTGATCCATCACCTAAGGTCAGAGAGGGAGTTTTCAGCAAAGTCAAATCTGTAGTCTGGTGGTTTTAACAAATATGCTCTTTCTGAATAGCGAACATAAAATCAGTTCCATGCAAGGGCATGCTCCCCTGCCCACACCAAGCCTGTGTGAATGTGTGTACACAAATAGAACAGGCATAGATATGTATGTCACCACCCACTACTGTTGTGCCTCCCTCTATCTCAGAATCTTCCTCTCAGGTCCCTTTTAATCGCAAGTGACGGCAACCCAATTCAAGCAAACTTAAAGCTAAAAAGGGGGTCCATGTTATTTTAGGTAAATAAATCACAGAAAGGGATAGATACTCTCTTTTCTGTTTCTTCATTTCTTCTCATTGCTTAATGTTCTCAAGATCTCTGAATGGCATTCATTTCCTGGCAAAGGATGGGAATAACCATTTCTCCATCTCTGACTCATAAAATTCCTGGGAAGATCTTTGATTAGTCCAGTTTAGGTCACATACTCTTCCCTCTACCAGATCACCATGTCCAGGCTGGTGTGATGACACTAGCCAGCTTACGTCACATGATCTCCCATCAGAGGTTGGGGGCCTGGGATTGGCAGCCTCAGAGAGAACCTGATAGTTGAAAGAGGGGAAGAGCAGTTTTGCCCAAAGGAGGGAGTGGGAGTGTCTTGTGCGCCCTCCAAATAGTTTGCATCAGCTACATCTAGCAAAGGATGCCATTTTTATTTTGTTGCCTAAAGGCTCTGGTAAAACTGGAGTGGGAAACTCCACATCAGCTCAGGCAAAGTGCAGGAAAAAAATAGTTTTAAAAAATCTGCAACTTATTTTGAGAGATGAGTGAGGCAGCCGCTACCCCAAGGCACCAAGGCAGAACTCACAGCAATAGAAGCTTTCACCCATCTGCTTCCTCTACCTCAAGTCTTCCCAGTTCAGCTAAGAACTTCAGACACTAGGACAACACAGCCATTGTTAAATAAGAGGAAGATGATGACTTTGCTCCCAGTCAACAAGGATGATCTGAAGTCCAGTGGTTAGGGAAGCAGTTTCTGCTGTTGGATATCCCATGTGATAGCATTTGGCACCACCATATTCCTTTTAGGTAGGCATTTGTATAAAACTCTCCATTTTTGTCTCTAAAAAATGATCCATAGGGCAGCAGCACTTACTTCACAGTGGGTCCAGGTAGGGCTCACAGACCTGCAACTGATCCTGGTTTTTGGACTCTAGTAATAATTGTTTCTGCTATGGTAAATGTGGAACAAACACAAGCTGAAATATCACTAGAGTGGCAAAGCCCAGACAGACAGATGAGCCTTGACAAGGAAAAGGTCAGGGTCGAGACAAATCTTTTCTAGGTTCAAGGGAGCTGGACAAGGAAGGGTGCGAGTACAGAACAGAGCAGAGTACTCTCTCTGCCTCATGCATATGGGAAACGATGTCCTGAAGGAAAGGGATGAGAAAGCCTGCCAGGCAGACCCAGAACAGCAACACCACAGACAGCCTTTGGCAACTGCAGGCCGCAGGGTAACCCACACTCGGCATTGTCTGGCGTCCAACTGGCCAGGACAGCCGGGAAACAAGCCGTGGGCTGAAGGAGGCCATCTCCTCAGCTGACCTCTGTATGCCTTTTTTGTTGTTGTTACTAATTTTTTTCATTTATTTAAAAAACTGAATTAAAGGAAATTAATAAAGGAAAATTTCACCCGTGTCAGCTATATTTAGCTCTGTGCTTCTGTCCAGCTGGGTTTGAATTGATCCAGACACCACCCCAGGGAGGGGTTTGCTATGAGCCGGCTCTAGTAGGGCTCATAGATGGAAGCCTGAGGGTATCTGTTTATTGCCTAGAAACACCCTCCCCACACCCAAAATTTGGTTGATTTCTCTGAAGCCCCACTGCTTAAAGCCTTCTTTTTCTAAGGATTCAGACTGCCCAGGGCATCCTCTTCTTTACCTTCCTGGGTGAGCAGCTGCTCCTGCAGGACTCCCAGCCTGATTTTGAATGAGTTGGTAGAAAATGCACAATAACAATGGTCAGGGGATGAGAACCCTCAATTGTCTGGTCTAACGGTGAAGCTGTGAGGCTGGGTGCTTTTATGCCCTTTATCTCAGTTAATTCACACAACCACCTTCTAAGACAGGTCTTGTACCCATCTGGCAAATTAGGAAACAGAGACTTTGAAATGGTAAATCGGTGACCATAGGATAATGATAAGACCTGACCCATCGGAGATAAAATGGCTAAGCATTAGAGTATATAATCTTTGTTCAATCCTCAACATAACCCTACAAGTTTGGTATTATTGACCCTATTCTACAGATGAGGAAAGCGAGGCTCAAAGGGGCTGATGATCTCAGGGTCATGCTCTTAACCATTCAACTCTAAGGCCTCTGCTGGAAGAGATGCTAAAAGTCCTGCTTGTCTACCTAACTAAGCTCATGGAGAGCTATGGCTGGAATCGTCCCTCCTGGAGCACCCTACCATGCTCCCAAAGGATCTCCAACAGGTTGAATGAAGGGGTCCTATTGTGGGCCTTATGGCAGGATGTGGCTCTTGCCCTTGATGGTTGTGCACTCCTGGCCCCAAGCCCAACTGTTTGTTCTTCTTAGACTTGGAAGTTCAAGGCCTATACGTCTTGTCTCCCCATTTTTATCAAAAGAATGGCTTTATCGAGGTCTAGTGTCAACAGCCACCCACATCTGCCCCTCCTTGAAAAGGGAGTGAGGTCTTCCCAGGTCCCTGAGCCTCTGGTGCATTTTTTCTAAGAAAACAGTTTCCCTTCATTTACTGAGAAAATGTTGTACCATGTTGGAGCTGAAATAGGATCTGGAGCCACAAATGAGACTTGAAGCGGGTGAGAGAGAAGGGAAATTAGTGTCTGGCACAGGGCCTAAAGCCCTAGCTCTACCCAGCTTCTAGTTTCTGGATGGAGATGGGCCTAAGTCCAGGATGTGTATGTCATCTTCTTGAACGAGGCAGTTTCCTGAGCCCTAAAGAATTCTTTTCTGAGATATAATTTACATACCATAAAATTCACCCTTAGGGACTAAACAATTTCCCCTCCCAGGAAGTTGTCCCCCTTTTAGCTTCCTTGCCACCCTCCCCCATCATCTCAGTCATCCCAGAGGGAGAGGAAAACGAAGAGGAGCAAATTTCCCCAGAATAGCATTCTTCAGTGTTGGGATCAATAAATCTGTTTGCTTAAAAGGAACCAGATGATTTCACCCTTGTAATTACAAGTTTGACGTTTGCAAATCTTGCCCAGGCTCCAAATCAGTCTCTTTTGGTCACGGGAGGCAAGGGGTTTGTCTGGGTGCCTGGGGATGGGGACCTAGCCTAGTCAGGAGGCCTGGCTGACGGTCTTTGAGGGATGCTTTAGACTGCTCCTCCTCCCCTTTCCTACTCTCAAAACTTCTAGCAGGTAACGAAAAATAGATTAGATTAGGGGTCTGGAGAATGACAGTGGTGAGCTCTAACCACACTACCCTCCTGCCTAAGCCTCTTCCTCAAAGTCTTCTATTTGCCCGTGTTAGAAAGGCAAAAGACCCTTAGCCCAGTATTCATGAAACCCAGACAATCATTCCTTTCCTTTCCAATCCCATCTCCCATTATTTCTCCTCATGGTATCCTACAATCCAGCCATACTGGCTTCTTGCATTTCCCACATGCCTCAGGGCTTTTGCTCTTACTGTTCTCCATCTAGCATAACTTTTTCCTCTTTCTTTGCTGGGAACACTCATACTTTTTCTTTAAATATGAATTCAGGGGTCTTTGTCTTTCACATAGTGACTGTGCCACAGCGTCCCCTCATTCTACATAATATGCCAGAGAGATGGTCAGCACACCTAGGGCACAGTAACCACCTAGGTTCTTGGAGGATTTGGCTACCTGTGAATTTGTGTTTATTTTACTACTGTGCAGCCTTCATAGGAATGTCTCTCACACCCCACCTTAACTTTTGTTTCAATTATTTAAAACTTGTACATATTTTTAGTAGAAATTTTAGGAAATTAGGAAGAGTCCTACCATCTCAAAACAATCACTGCTAACATTTCAGTATATTTTCTTTGGCCTCCTTCCATCCACATTTCTTCACATAGTTATGACATTCTATAGGTACAGTTCTGAATACTCCATTATCACCTAACCTTATGACATAAACATTTTCCCATGTAATCATATAAAACTCTTAATGGAATCTTGTCCTATCCCTTATTGTTGGGCATTTATTTTGGTTGTTTCCTATTATTCCCGTTATAAAATAGGCTTCTGTGAACACCATGGTGCTTAAGGCTTTTTCTTAAAAGTTTTGGATAGCGTTTTTAGGGGCAATTTCCAGAAACAGAACCACCATGTCAAAAGGTATGGGCATTTTAAGTTTCCTGATACCAGTTGCCAAATTTCTCTTCGGCATTGCCTCTTCTCTCTTCTTGAGTCTTTAAATCTGTTCCCTCCTCCCAGCATTTCTCTTCTCAGTGTCTCAGACACAGGAAATGCCAACTAAGAATAAACCAAGACCTGCAGATAGAGATCAATGGATCAATAAAGGAGGTTGAATAATTCAACATTCACTTCTGGCTCATTATCGACTCCTGAATCCAAATGCATCCTCATTTACCTTCTTTCTTTTTGTCTCCATGCTGATGATACCTTGACTCCTTGCCCTGTTCTTGGATTCTTTCCCAAATTTCCGAAGCTCTGAACTATCTTGCAGGCCAAGTTTCCCATTGAGCTGTAATATTGCCTTGTAAATAGGCAGCCAGAATTACTAGCCTACGGCCACCTTACCAGCCTGCTTTCCCTCTAGGAACACAAGGGCAATTAATAAAACAGACAATAATTCTCTTCTGTTAGATGATATTTCTGAGTGAATCGGCAAGGAGTTCAGCTTCAGCCCTGACTAACTTTCTCTGTCTAGCTTGCTTCTCTCCACTTCCTCAGCCAAGCAAATTCATACTATTTCATTAAGTATGGGTCCAGAGGTCTCTAAGAAGCCTTTCTCAACTGTACTGGACAGAATGACTGCCCCACAGCATTCCCTTACCAATGCCTGCCCTGGAAACTGAACCCAACCTCCTCAAAGGCACAGCACAGTCTTGGTAGCTTTCCTGGCCCCACTGTATTCTAATTTCATCTTGCTTCCTCCTGCCCATGGGGATCTCCCAGTATGCTTTGCAAACTTAGGTAATGTTGGTGATTGTGATGGATACTGAGATGCCATGGATAGGCTGGAAGAAGTATATTGGGTTGCAAAGACTGTCCAGTATGGATGTTTTGGGTTAGGTGGTGACCAAGCAATCACCCAATCAGAGCTTTCTCTGAGGCATTTGTGGTGTAAGTGTTTGTGTAGGTGACAAGCCCAAACCCAATGGAGTTTTGGGTCTGGAGTCCCTGGAAGGCTATGGAAGCCACCAGTTCTTCCCTCAGGCCAAAAGAGCTGATCCTTAGGCAATAGACATGAATCAGACACTGGCACCTCTATCAGCTTTTGATAAATTTTCATGCCACTCATGCTAATTTCCTGAAAGGCTTTTCTTCCACCTTCAGGCTCCCCTTCAAAAGAGTTCTTGTTCCTTCACGGTAGGAGATCTATAATGATCACCCAGTGGCTCCTTGGTGGGGTCGCTATATGCTCTTCCACAGCGATAGGAGTCCTGGACCACAGCTGGAAGAGGCTGGACTGGAGTATTGTTCCCAGCACACACCTGAGGAGAACCAGGCCCAGAGAGGCCAGTAGCTTGCCTGAGGACACGCACAGAGGAACAGGTCCAGACAGGAACACAATTAGGTGAAAACCCAACCCCTCATGACCATGGGATTATAGAGGTATCGCTGGGACTATAGAGGGTCAGTGGTAAATACTAGAGTGCTGTCTTGATTGGCTTTCTATGGGGTGGGGGAGGGCTTCCCCAGCAACACCTGGCCCTTCCCGTACCCCTTGGTCACATGAATTCCCAGGGTAGGCTGAGTGGGAGAGCTCTGAACCACAGTGCCCCAGGGGCCATCCTGTGGGACTTACTGTCCAGTTTTGCACCACCCTACCCTGGTTTCACCACTTCTACTCTCTCCTCCTCCAGTTACTCTATACTCTGTAAACTCAAAGATCCTTCTGGAAGATAAGTCTGGCCAGGACATGTTTCTCCCATGGCTCCCCAGTGCCTCAGGGTAGAGACCATGCTCCCTCCAAGGCTTAGAGGCCTGGTGCTCCAGCTTTGGGCCCTATTTCCTCTCTTAGACTTCCTGTGTGGGCCATGCTGACACAGAGCTGCTGGGATGGAACAGGCTAATGCCTGCTTCTAGGCCTTTGCTCCTGCTGTGTCCTCTGGCTGACATGGCTTGCTCTCCCTCTCCACCTCCATTCCCTCCACGGTTTCCTATGGGTCCTTTCAGATACTCCTCCAGGAAGCCTTCCCTGACTCCTCATCCCAATCAAGTTAGGTCATCTCCTCTGTGCTCCCACAGCCTTTCTAGATGATCCTTTCCATCATCTCCCGGGGGTCTCAGTGGTCAGGCAACTGAGATAAGAAACATTCCTGCCCACTGCTACCTTCCGAGTGCCCAGGTACTGTACTCCTCCAGCCTAAACAGCCCTCAGCACTGTCCTGGCTCTGTCCTTATATCTGTCTGGCTGTGTGTCCACCTGCTGTTTACTTCCTTACCCCCTGACTTTCTTGGAAGATTGGTCCACTGTCTGTTTCATCTCTCCGTGCTCCTTTCTGCATGCTTTAATTTAATACACTTCCACTTTAATTTAAGACAAAGTAGTGTATTTGTCACTGTGTCACTTCCTCACTCAGTCCCTACACCCCAATTTCTCACAGGTGCTCTCCCCTCCACATAGTTAATGGCCTTGGTACATGGAAAGGGGACTTCTCACTCCTTGAAGGAAGTGATTCCTTCTCCCTTACAGAAAGTCTGACCCAACAGGGCCTGAGGGAGAGGTTCTACAGATCAGAGCAAGCCCCCAACCCTTCCCTACCAAGGCTAGACCTGAGAGGGGTGGGGCAGAGGGAGGGCACCAAGAAGAAGCTACCTTGAATCCCATGCTGCTGCATCCAGGACAGGTCAGAGGCCTCAGTTCCTGTAACACAGTCCCTTACGGGACTGGCAGGGGAAAGACAAGTATTGGGCAGCAGATCTCTTTGGTCAATTTCATTTGTGGACCTTCGAACTGAACCCTCCTCACTGCTTCTTCCCTTCTAGAAACTTCAGCCTCATCCAGAGTGTGTCCTGGACATAGGCCAACTTGTCCCTCACTACAGGGCCCCAGTGTGTACAGCCTGGGCTGGGAAGGGGTCAGTTGGAGAAAGGAAAGTCTTGAGGTGGTGGTGCCTGCTCCTCACTGCTACCTTTTCCAGCCCGGCCTTCTTTTACCTTAAGTTTCCCTGCACCGCAGAGCTTCCCTAAGTTTGAAGGCCCAGCCAAGCTCCTGGAGTCTCTTGCCCACGCAGCCTGTGGGCTCTTGGAAGGCAGGACTGATCCCTCCGGGTCTCCCAGAGTTCTTGGGTGGTTGAGTCAGGTTGTGTAGGGCATAGATCCAGGGGAGGGAGTCCACGTAGTTTATTCATCAGAGAGGAGCGCCTGCGGCCCTGCACTGCTCATTCACCCTCCTGCCCACCTGGGGCTGATCCTGGGTGGCTGAGGGTTTCTAAGGCCAGGCCCTGCCACGGGCCACCAGCAAAGAACTGCTCTGGGTGTAGCCAGCCCAGGCACAGTCTTGGAGGTCTAGAAGCCAGGAGTACAAAGAGGGCGCAAGAGGAATTAGGCAGAGCTGGCCCCTACCTGGAGCGCCTCTGTCTCCTGCCTGAGACTAGAGCTGTCCTGCTCCCACCAAGTCTGGGGCGCAGGCTGTCGCGGGGTGCAGGGGCCCTCACAAGGAGGGAGGCCGCATCCTGCTTGCCCACTCCCAGCGGCGGCGTTTCAGCTCCCGGCGCCCTCACGGCAGCCGGGGCTCTGGCCCTGCGCCAGGCGGCTGGATCCATCACTGCAGTTGGCGGGAGGCCCGCCAGCGAGTCCCCCAGGGCTCTCAGGCAGTCGGAGCTGTCGGCCAGGCAGGGAGGGAGGCGGCGGCGGGAGCCAGGGGGCTGGAAGAGAGAGGGCGCTGCGGGAGCTGCGGTCTGCGCCAACACCACGCAGGAGCCGCGTCTCCCGCACTAATTGGCCCCTCTCCAGTCTCTTCCGCCAGCAATTACTGCTGAGGTTGGGGGTGGCGGGGTATTGGAGTAGAGTAAGGGGCACCGCTTCCGGAGTGGGGAGTCAAGCTCAGCAGGAGCTGAGCCGCAGGGTCCTGGGCGCGCGCTCGTGTGTGTGTGTGTCTGTGTGTGTGTGTGTGTGTGTGTGTGTGTGTGTGTGTGTGTGTGGTTCCTATGCCAGCTTTGCACAGGGGCACTGGGGAGCTGGGGTAAACCCAGGGAAAAGCCACAGAGGTGTCTTGGGGCCATCACCAAGATCTAAATAGTTCTGAGAACGGCTCACTGAGAAGTTGGGCCTGGCTGGGTTTTAGGAAAAACTCTGGGTGGCCTAGGGGACCCTAGTACAGAGTGGAGACAGGGCAGTATACCCCTCCCACCTTGTCCAGGCAGTGCCACCTAGGGAGGAGCAGACAGGAAGAAGGACACCCTCTCTGTGGGATGGGGAGGGTATGGAACAGGGGCTGTAGGAGGTAGGGGCCAGCCCACCATCCAGTCTGCCCACCAGAGTTCTTCCAGGCTCGAATTCCTGGAGAAGGTCCTAGGGTTCCCCTGACAGTCCTTCCTGATCCTGCAGCCTTCTGCTCAACTAAGCCTGGGCCCATACTCAGCCGCACTCCCTCTAATTTGGGAAAGAATCGCCTCTAGGCAGCTGGCTGGTTGGAAAAGTTTCCTTCTTCGGACCCATTTGAGAAAGCCTGGTGGGGAGAACTGAGGGATCCTCAGAAGCAAGCCTGGACCAACCAGGAGTCAGTATATTCCCTGTAGGTGCTGAGGTGACTCAAGGCCAGTGACCTCAGCCCCTATTGAGTTCTACATAGGTCGCCTAGGACCAACTTCCAGGAGGCTGAGCTTCCAGCCCTCACTCAGGCTTCCCCTGATGAGTGGCTGTTTGGTGCCTGTTGCCTTGTTAGAGGGGGGTAGGATGTTCTGCTGGCTCTGCCTCCCCAGAGAGTGAAGTTGTCACACCTCTTGTGGGAGCCACTCTTCCTCAGGGATTACTCCAAGTCTGGGAAGTGGTGGCAGGGTGAGTCAGACAAGCCTGGATCAAATTTTCACTTTGCCAGCATGAGGTCATGACCTTCAGCAAGCTTTTTATATCTTGTGCCTAAGTTTGCTCATCTGTAAAGTAGCAGTAATAAAATCCACGTGATAGAGTTATTGTGAAGATAAATATTTGCTTCAAAGGGGCTTTTCCTCCCTCTTCCAAACATCCCTTTGCTTTGGGAGCTTAGATGCTGGCATATGGAGGATTGATTACCCCTCACCCCACAGATCCCTGCAGCCTCCAGTTGTCTCAGAGACTTAGGAACCCTGGAGAGCCTAATTAATATTGTAGTTTGGGACATAAAACCTGTGGGACGTTATACTAAAGTTCATGGCATTATTCACAATAGTCAAAAAGTGAAAATAACACAAATGTTCCTCAACAGATGAATAGATAAACCATCTGTGGTATGTACATACAATGAAATATTATTGAGCCTTAAAAAGAAATTAAATTCTGACATGCTACAACATGAATGAAACTTGAAGACATTATACTAAGCGAAATAAGCCATACACAAACAGACAAATACTGTATGATTCCACTTACATGAGATACCTGGAATAGTCAAATTCATAGGAAAGAAAGTATAATAGTGGGTACCAGGGGTTGGGGGTAAGAGAGAAGAGGGAGTTATCGTTTAATGGATATAGAGTTTCAGTTTGGGATGCTGAAAAAGTTCTGGAAATGGTTGCACAACACCTCAGATGTATTTAATGCTACTGAACTGGACACTTAAAATGGTTAAAATGGTAATTTTTATGTTATGTATATTTTACCACCAAAAAACTCCACAAAATAAAGCAAAAAGCCCTGTAGGACAGGCTGGAGTATGCCCAGGTCAAGCTGCAAGATAGGCCAAAGAGAGAGGAGTCTAAGTACAGCACCAAGACCTAAACCGATGGACAAGTGATCATAGAGTGCGGATGTCCTGGGGATGCACTTAAGACAATGACGAAAAAAGCCAAGTGTTCTGCAGACCAGGCAACTTTTCCGTAGCTCCCCTTGACAGAATATAGCATAGCAGGCTTAACCAACAAGAAGCAGGCAGCAATATTCCCTTCCTCCAAGGGCTCAAAACAAGACACCATCCACATAACCCAAATATTTTACAAATGGAGAAATTCAGGTCAAGTCAACATGTTTTTATTGAGTACCATCCCTGTGTCCAGGCTTTGGAGGAACCGGGGTAGAGATGGGTATGGAAAGGGGGGAATATTCCAAACTACCAAAACTTTACTCCATGTAACAAATGATCTGTCCAAGGCCTCAGACCAAGGTCTAGCAGGATAAATGGTAAGTGACAAGCTGGGTGTAATGATGGGAACAATGGCAGTCTGGGCAGACTTCAGATAAGAAGTGGCTTTAAATAGACCTTGAAGGGTAGGAGAATTTGGAGAAGGGTGGGGGAGAAGAGTTTTTCCTGAGGCTGGGCACAGTGTGGCAGTGAAAGGGCCTGGCCTAACTTGATGAAGTCAGTGAGATAGGTGGGCATCGTGGATGTCAGGCTGAAGAGTGTGGTGCAGGGCCCCAAACAACAGGCTAAGTTTCTGGCTCTAGCCTGAAGGTAGTAGGGAGTCTCTGCAGGTTCTAGATTGAGGAGAGCAGAGCCCCTGTCCCAGATGTGTCTATGGCAAGTCTCCCCAAGGCCTGGGTGGGGGGACAACCCCTTAAACTTCCTCCTGCATAGCCATTCTCAGTATTGCTTCTCAGATCTTTAATGCTGTCATAGCCTCAACCAAAAGGCCATCTTTTTCTCTTTGAGCTTCACACCCTTGTGGCAAAATCCAGCTGCAGGTACTTCTCCTCTTTGTTGTATCCTGGCCAGTAGGGCGGCTTCCCATGGTTGGGATTTCTGCCCAGGAGGAAGGAGGAGAGAGGATTATGCATGTTCATCTGTAACCTGCCTCCTTTGCTTACCTTCCCCTCATTCACCTTCTCTTTGGGAGTTGGGGACCAAGAAGGCTTTGCAGAGATGTTTAGCTAGATCTTTAAGAAAGAATAGGATGGTATGTGGTGGCGAGGGACTTCCACATGGAAGGAACAGTTTGTGCAAAGCATTGGAGGTGTGAGAGACGAGGGCTTTTGGAGGAAGCATGAGTATAGGATTAGGTAAAAACATAGGTGCGTGATGCAGAGAGAAGATGACAGAGGAAAAATTTTGAAAATTTTGGTGCCATGCTAAGTAAGGAGTTGAGACTTTATCCTGGGAAGCTATGAAGAGTTTTAATCAGGCGAGTGATTTGGTCAGATGACATTTCAGAAAGATCCCTTGAGTATCATAAGGAGGATGGATAGAAAGGAGAATGTGAGATGGGAAACTAGTCAGGAAGCTAACCAAAGCTCAGCTCAGGTGTCACTTCTGCCAGGAAGCCACCCTGCCTACCCAGACATGGTCAGACACATCCTCGAAGTGACTACTGTTTCCCCAGTATGATTATTATTATGCAAGATTGTAATTTAATGTTTTTGTTAAACATTAACAAGCTGTTGGATGATGGTGGTCACGTTTGCAATATCCTTGAATTGCAGCTCCCAGTATTGGACTGGGCGGAAAACAGAGCATTGGAAATGACTATTGAATACTTGGGCGAATAAAGACTGTGGTCATGGGACATTCTAGGGACATTTAGGACTTGGTGACTGATTAGGGAAAGGTGAGGAAGAAGGAGAATTCTGCCTGGGCTGATTGTGCACTTCCTGTGGGATATACAGGGACAAATATCTGAAGCAGTTGGCCATCGTGGTCTGGTGCTGGGCAGGAAGACTGCCCAGATGTTTTGAGGGGTCATATTTACCCTGCGAGGGCAAAGTTGGCACAGTATTTCATCATCTGGAGGCCCAGTATCTTCTCACCTGTGGAATGGCCTGGGGGCAGGATGGGATGTGAAGTTTAGAACAGAGCATGGGGTGCTTACATCCCACCCTCCATACTGGGAGGCTTTCATTCGGGAGAGCATTCCAGATTAGGAACTGGCTAGCTCCCTGTGGTCGGCCAATGGAATTGTGGGTTCCAATACAAGAGTAAGGAGACTAGACATTTAGTAGGGGTGTCAGGTAAGGTGCTTGGATCTTTGGAGATGGAACTCCTAAAGATAAAGCAGATCTCATCTCCACGGTCTGCCTTGTCAGTGTGGGGTTTGATAATGATGCCAGTGGGAGCATGGCGCTCAAACTCATACAGTTGACAGGGAAGCCAGCATCTAGGAATAGGGAAACCGAGAAGGGCTGCAGGAAAAGTCTTGGCCTGTGCTCCTCATCCACCTCATCCATTTGCATCAAGCAGGGGAAGAGCTTGGCCTTCAGTATCGAGGAAGCAGAATTGAATCCTGTCTGGCACTACTCATTAGCCATGTGACCTGGCGCAAGTAACTTAACCTTTCTGAACTACAATTTTTAATCTGCAAACTGGGAATGCTAAAATTTAATTCAGATTATGACAAGTATCATGGAAACCTTTTTTCCTCTTCTGAACATTTCTTCAGTGTCTACCTTCTCCGGCTCCACCTTTGATCTCTCATACACATGTTCCCCAACCCCAAGATGGCCTGGCCAAGATCTCCAAGATGCCCTTAAGCCTGTCCTCTCAGCCAGGATGCTTTCCCTGACCACCCCAGGCTGTCTCCTCCAGGCTGGCCTTGGCTCTGTCCTCATCCCTAAGGAACAGCCCCTTCTGTCTTGTAGTTGACAGCAAGCTGCCTCTTCTGTGGCATCTTGGAATCCTACGCCACCCCAGAGGTACAGAAACGGTGGGTGAGCAGTTAGTAAGCCCAGTTGGTAAGCTGCACGAGTGGATAGGGTGCAGCCCCACATACTACAGTGGTAGTCAGCAGCCTTCAGTGTGGAGTACACAAAGGTAGCATCCCAGCTAGGTACATCACATGGTTTTGTAACATCTTCCAGCCATGGTCATCAAAATCACCCAGGTACTCAGGTACTCCTCCACTACCAGTGATAATTGCTCCTTGGTGACATTCTAGGTGGAAGCCATACCCACTCTGAGGTCTAGGTGCCAGCTGGGCCAGAGGTGAGCACACTAGTGACTTAGGCCCAGGCTCAGAACCCCCAAGAGTTTTTGGCCTGGGGGAGGGGGAGGAAAAGGGGACTTTCTGGGAGGAAGAGGGGACTTCTTGCTGATTCTTACCCCTGTGTTTTTTGCTGCATGAGACCTGCCTGCCATGACCCTGAGACCCTTGAGGCCTTTGCCACCAGCAGCCATCTGATCCCATGCTAAACCCCAAGCCTCCCAATAAAGGTATCTATCCTGGCTGGGAGCCCTTTGTTAAGAGCAGCTACTTGGTAAAAAAAAAAAAAAGGGAGGGCGACGTTAGTCATGTTCAACCAAAATGAGCACCCCTAACAGTGTGGCTCCCCACCAACAAGGTACTGGTACTTCAGAGCAGCTTCGTGATGATTTCTTTTCTCATCATGTATCAATTTAATGGGAACTTCATGATCTTCCCACAAGACAAGGACCCAAGTGTAGGCCAGGCCTAAGCACCAGGACAGATTCCAGCCAGAGCTGAAGTGGGGGCTGGGAAGGTCCCTGCTAAACTGGGGCATCTACCCAGACCCAGGAACAATAGAGGGCCCCAAGAATTGCAGCTTCTTGGAAGCTAAGGAATGAACAGGATGATCCATCCTAGCTATGATCTGAAGGTTCAGGGCCCCCAAATCTCCAAGAGACCACACTTCTCCCCATGCCCCCATCATTCCTGGCCAGCTTTCATTGCTCAGGGACTACAAGAGGCTCCCAAACACTTGGGTATTCCCAGGGGCCATCCTCTGCTACCCACTGTGGTGGGCACCTATCCTATTCATTTACGAAAGGCAAGAGCCAGCTGAACTCCAGGTTGTCAACACCCAGAAGGCAGGGCACAGATACATCCTGCCCCCATGTCAGGAGTACCACAAGGTCATCTGGGAACATTACACTGTCCACCACAGGCTCATGAGCCACATAATCTACAAGGCAAGGAGTGTTTCCTGCTATTTCTTCCACATATCCTCCCAGGATTCCTGTGGCCTAGGGTGCCCACGTCAGCAGGTCTCCCTCCAGAGACTGCTATAGCTATAGGCTCCCTAATTGGGAAAACGCTGGGGCTCAATGACCCCTGGGAGGGCACGTGTAGGAGAGGACGAGCCATAGGCAGAACCAGGATACTCAGCCTTGGGATGCTCCCCTGAGGTATCCACATAGTCTGCTCCATTCACCCCTTGAAAATCTTTGCAAAATGTCACCTTCTCAATGATGCCTTCTTTGTCTCTTCTTTTTAAAATTCCACCCCTCTCAACATTCCCAACCTCCTTACCCTGCTCCATTTGTTCATTTGTTGTTATTCACTTATCATCTTCTAAGGAGGAGAATCATTTATTTGAAGTGTTTATTGTCTCTCCCCATTGGAACATCAGCCCCACTAGGGAAGGAATTTTGGCCTGAACAGTTCACCAAATATCCTGAGTGCCTTGCACACAGTAGGTGTTCAATAAATACTCAAATTACAGAATGGCCTATTTACTTCCTGAGGATCTTCTTGGGAGTTCAAGTGGAAGAACTCATTAAGGAAGATGAGGTGACTAGAGTAAAAGGAAGTTTCCCCATGTGCTCCTGGAACAGAGTCCCCGGGGTGGCTGGGTACCAGGTTAGGAGGGTGGCTTGCAGCCAGGCAGATTAGGGATCTGGAAGAAAGTTCTATCTACCATCTTCTTGGACACACACATCACCTCCACCCCTGATCATGCCCTCAGGCAGTTTACTAGAATATGTGTGCTGTTGTGGTTGCAACCTGCTAGCTGGGCAACCTTCTGTAGAGAGAAGAGGTGCTTGGGGGTGCCCCGTCCTGTTCCTCCTTGCTGAACCCTGGGGAAGAAGGACATCCACCTTGGCCACCTATAGTGGGTCAAGAGTGATGAAGGCTCTGAGTACTGCAGTGCCATGCTGGGAAATGGCCCAGTGGAAGAGACCCTGGGCTAGAGGTGACATCATCTGCAGGAATGTGGAGGGCAGCACCCATGAGATGCACAACTTGAGGTCAGTTGGGCAGTTTTGGGTACCTGTCTGGCCATAGCTGGACATCCTGAAGAGGCCCAGAGAGGGCAGGCTGCTTGGAGGGAGTTGGTCAGCCTAGACCTTCCTGTCTCTGGGCCTCCATGTCCTGGTTCACGCATTGGGCCCCAGGAGTCCCGAAAGAGATCCAAGGTTGTGGATGGGGTTCTGCTGGTATGGGAAGGGGCTTCTCTCTGTTTTTGGGCCAGAACTGGGGGGAACCCTCTGGTTCCCATGGCTGACAGCTCTAAGCTTTTCTCCACCGCCCAAGTTGGGAGAACAATTCTATCAGCACCCCGCCACCCAATCCTGTACCTCAGACTTCTTGTGCCCCCAACTGGCTTTAGCAAGTTCCCATCTGGGTGATGTCCCTTACCCCACGCCATCCACCCAGTCCCAGGGGTCTTCACTCTCTCCTCTGCTCATCCCTTCACTCAGCCTCTGGGGGCACCTAAGCACTAAGAGAGGTCTGCACTCCCGAACAAGAGCTGCTGTGAAGTGATCTTGATCCTAGTTCTCTACCAGAGGCAATCTTTAAGCACTTACAAAAACAATAGTCTACCTTTTTAGTAGTCAAAAAAATGCTAATTAACACCGGGAGTTACAACTTCCACTTAATAAAGTAAAAAATGATGACACCCAATTCTGGCAAAGATACAGTGAAAAGGACATTCACATATACTGTTGGTGGAGTAAATTGATACAATGCCTTGGGAAAATAATTGGGCAAAATGTATAAGAACCGTAAAATATTCACATGTTTTGACACAGTAATTCCACTTCTAGGCCCTTCCCTTACAAAAATAGTCAGAAATACAATAAAACAAAGACCTTTGTGAACCATAGTCATACATACTATAATGAGTATGGGAAGCATTGTTTATATGTGGGGGCCAGGTGAAGTAAATATAACTATAAACTCAAGTGATAAACTGCTTTTGATAAAATTGTAAGTTGAAAAAAAGCAGAGTATAAAATTGTGCACATGCTAATATCACAGCTATGTGCAAATATAAAATAAAAACACTAAAAGAAAATACGCCCAAATTCTAAAGGTGATTTTAGCGATTTCCCTCAAATTAAAACATTTTAAGGCATTTATATAGGCAAAACTAATTAATGGTACAGGTCAGAATAGTGGTTACTTTGAGGGTATTGACTGGGAAGGGTTATGTGAAGTGCTGGAGATGTTCTATATCTTGATCTGGTTGGCGGTTACATGACCTAAATGTATGTGTGTGTATATATGTATACACTAGTATGTATACATATACATATGTATACATAGGTATATACTAGGATGTATACTAAATAATACTACTTTAATATAGTATTAATTTTATAAATAGTATACACATAAAATAATAAATTATAAATATAGAACTATATAAATTATAAAGTACAATTTATTAAAATATAAATGTCCAGACTTCCAGCTGACGGGTGGATTTGCACCCTAAAATGCACCCCCATCTGCTCAGACTTTTTCTAAATGTCCCTGCTCTACCCCTGCCCAGGAGAGGTTGAACTGGGGGCCTGTTCCTGAGTCCCTCATGTCTCTCTTGCTTAACACCTCAGGAAGGGGTGGGGGGCTCACCCAGGGCTCTCTGCACCATCAGGGAGAGGACAAGGCTCAGGCACAGAATCCAACTCATGCTCCAGCTGGCTGGCTCCTGCTACATATGTCCACACTACAGATGTCAGATTGTAGCTGTGTCTGTGCTGTGTGAGCACTGGGCAGTCCCAATTTTATCTTCCCTCTATCCTCATCAGTAGGTGCTTTGCTGGGGCTGGAGAAATTGTAACCAGCTCTCTGATCAGCCCACAGTCTTGTCTCTGCCTTGGGGTGACAGGTCACAATACTGGGTCTTGGCATTTCTGCAATTGGCTTAAAGTTGAGCTACTGTGACTGAAGCTCTGGGTACCCAGTAGATGCTAAGGTTGGAGCCCAACACCTGAGCATTTGGCCCCTCTGCCCCCAAGATCGCTCTCTGTGGATTTAAGGGCCTCAGGCCTCCCTGCTCCATTCAGCTCTGTCCAGTCTTCTACAAGCAGTCCTCCATCCTTCCTCATGCATCCTCTCTCACAACCAGAATATCGTGAGGCAGCAGGCTCTGTGCCAGGTATAGGAGTTTCTGGGGGAGCTGTTCCTACATGAACGCTGCCCTCACAGGCTCACAGTCCAGTTGGGGCAGCTGGACCCAGGCAACCGCGGTGGTGGGAGCCCTTAGGGGTACCTGGGTGATCCCAGAGATAGTGGTTAGAGTAGGAAGGTTCCCAGAGAATAACCAAGTTCTAGGTGAAGGACGAGGAGTTGGCCTGGCAAAGGAAGACCCTGTTTGAAGTTTGGAGCCGCAGGAGCAGGTGAGAAGAGGAGAGGGCAGTTTCATCTTCATTCAAAGCTATGATTGTTCCCTCTATCTCCTGCCAAAGGCTGGAGTTCTGCCCCACCTTTGAGAATAGGAGGTCAGGGGGGTTTCTGTGACTCCTTCCTCAACTTAGCAGGGGAGGGAAAAGACAGGGGAACAGTGCAGTTCTTCATTGATCCATGGCCTCCTGCTCTGTAGGTCTGGCAGATGATTAAAGCTTACTCCTCTCCTGCCTAATTCTGTCTGTTCTTTAGAGATGCCTTTTACTTGGAACTTCTCTTTCCCATTTCTCATCCAGTGACCCTTCCTTAGTCTCAAGGAATGTGGTATGCACAACCCAACTTCACTTCCCAGGCTTTATGCCCTTCTAAGAGGCAAAGGAAGAGGCCTGAGATAGGCTCGAGGTGAGCCCCCCGCATCCTGCAGGATCTATCTACATGGGCAACCCTCCAACATCACTTGCCCATCCCATTGCAACTCCCTTTACCCTACCCACTGTGTCACAAGCTGTTATATTTCCCTTCGGTGGAGTCAGGCTCCAGTTGACTGAGCCTCCCCCTTGGTGGGCAGCACCTCTCACTGTCCCCCAGGATCTCGTGAAAAAGACCCCCACAGCTTGAGGGGAAGGAAGTGCGGTGAGGATTCAGAGAGGCAACAGCTCTCTCTAATGAAAATCTCTCCTCTAACCCCTCCCCACTCCACACTCTCTTCTTCAAGCGGCGAATGGCTGAGGGGTCCAGGAATTGTGGAAATGGTTCTCAGACCACTTTCTACAAATTTCTCATGTACTGATATGGCTTAGGGATTCTCATATCCACTGCATCTTGGTTTGCAGTGCATGAGGGCTAGGCAGTCTCACTTTTGTGTGGTTGACACACCAGTGTCCCCTCCCTGTTACATCCTCGTTGCTTGCAAAGTAGGTTCTTCATTCTCTGATGGCAGGTGTGCCTTTCTTGAGGTCATTGAACAACATGGAGCAAGAGCCTTAAAACTGCCCTATCCTTTGACTGAGAAATTTGGTCTTGGAGATTGTCCAAAACACACACAAAAATTTGTTTACATGATGAGTGTTTTATAGTCTTGTTGACAACAGCCTCACCTCAACATGACTGAGGGGATGGCTAAAGAAGGGGTGTTATGTCCACAGAATACAGTATATACTACATGGTCAGTAATAGCACGTTCCATAAGACTGTGCCAGGCGATGGCTTCATGTATGGGTTTGAATCCCAGCACTGACACGTATGAGCTGTGTGACCTTGGGAAAACCACTTAACTTCTCCAAACCTCAGTTTGTCCATCTATAAAGTCAGCACAATATACTTATCTCATAGGATTTTAGAGAAGGTTAAATAAGTTAGTGTAGGTAAAGCACTTAAAACAGGAAACATCTATTATGTCAGTGATTGTCATCAATACTTGGGAAAATGCTGATGTGGTTTAATAACTTGAAAAAGGTAGAATTTGAAATTATGTATTGAATATGACAAGATTAGCAATGGACATTACACACCAAAATATTCTGAAGATGTCGGAAGTAATAGACAGAAAAGATGCCCAAATTGTGTTTGTGGTTGGTTCTGAGTTGCAGAGTCATCAGTGACTTTGATTTCTTAATTTCTTTTTTTATTTAACTTTTCTAAAGTTTCCATAGTTTCTTTAACCAACATTAGTGGAGAGTTTACCATCACCATGGGGTTTAAAGGGACATGGATGAGAGGACAGGGAAGGCAGGACCAGGGAAGTACAGGCTGCCAGCAGCTCCATCTGTCCTGGACTAGCTCTTTTTGTTCTGGACCACATTCCCTTCCTCATTACCTCACTCTGTTAGCCTTTCCTGTGAGTTGTGAGTGGCCACATCAATAGGAGTATGGAGTCCAGTCTGGAGGAGGTGACAGAGCTGCTTGTTTCTACTGGCGAGGCTCTGAGAAAATTGGTTTATCTGTATGCACTAAACATGTGTCATTCAAAGCAAGGACCAAGCTGGGGGTTAGAAAACAAAGGAAGGGGATGATGGAGAAGGCGGACAAGACTGTGAGTCCACATACCAGGCCGGCCACATGTAGACTCCCCCACCAGCTGTGCAGCCACATGTCCAATTCGGCGTGGGCCTTAAGGACTGGTCCTGCCAACAGCTAGCTCCACTCCAGTCATTTCTTTAGGCGGACAAGACTGTGAGTCCACATACCAGGCCGGTCACATGTAGACTCCCCCACCCAGCTGTGCAGCAACATGTCCAATTCGGTGTGGGCCTTAAGGACTGGTCCTGCCAACAACTAGCTCCACTCCAGTCCTTTCTTCCTAGGGAAGAAACAACCTTTTACCTGGCCCATATGGGAAGTAGTTTTATCAGGCCAGGAAACTCAGTGGAGTATCTAGGACTCATGTGGTCCCCATCCAATGCTCACATAGGGGCACAGGGGATGTCAAGTGGTAGCCAAGCCAGCTAGGTGGCTCTGGTGAAACATTCTTAAGGGTAAGAAGCTGAGATTCTGATATTTTATACTAGGTGACTCCTCTCCTGAGTCACCTGGCACCCTCTGGTTTTTTTTGTTTGTTTGTTTATTTGTT